ACCGTATTGTTGGTATTGCCTATTAGTAAATGGTCGTCTTTTCTTTGCAAGTGAATTGTTCTTATTTTAATTGATTTGTTTCTAAACTGTTTTTCCAGGTGCTCGGCCGTCATACATTCCTACATGTTTCACCACATAATTGTACTGTACTGTACCTCTACTTCAGGCCCGTATCCAGGGGGGGGGGGTGCGTTTGGTGCGTACGCACCCCACCCAATCCAAAAACGTCCACTAATTATAACCAAAAAAATGTGACCTTGTTCCCAGAATCATAAAATGAATCACATAACAGTGGAGTATTAAGACTGTCTCTTATACACATCTAGATGTGTATAAGAGACAGTATATATATATATATATACATTCAAAACTTACTGTATATGACGCAAATTTTAGGTTTATCTGGACCCTCAGGCGTCCAGATGAACCGAAAATACGTCTTGTTTATCGAAAAAGACTTTCGTATGAAGCAGTACACCGGAGTAACCCCTCGTCTCGAAAAGATGTACTGGGTTCTTCATAGTGCACACGAGCCATTTTGTACACTGGGCCTACCGTTTAAAGTCCTTATCCGAGAAGACTTATTCCACAGAAACATAGGCGAGTGTGCCGTTCGAACCAGCGCCGATATTTTGGCTTTGCAGCGCCCTTGCCTTAACGGCTCGGCCATTCAACTCTCCGAATATAATGGGCACCAGTTCTGTTAGTCGTACAACAATTCTATATGTTTACATACTTATATATAATTCATGTACCTTTAAAAAAACATTTATTTGGGGGTAATTGGCTAGACAATCTAGTTGGCATATTACATCTCATGATTTTTATATTAGGCCTATATTGCGAATACATTTTGATTGAGAGAAACTAATAATAATTAAAATATATGAATATTTTGTTTTGCTACTGTTCTATATTTATGTACTTTATGATTTTTATATTATGTAAACAATATATGTTTTAATGGTTGTAAAGTTTATATATAATGATGATGACGATAATGGTGATAATGACGACAATGAACTGATATACCGACAATATATTTTGGACTTTGTAAACTGGTGCAAACAAAGCAATCTAAAGCTAAACGTAAATAAGACCAAAGAACTGATCCATGATTTCAGAACTATAACTCATTAAACCCTGTTACCATAAACGGTAACGTTATCGAACATGTTAACCAGTATAAATACCTAGGATGTATTGTTGATAGTAAGTTAACTTGGACTCCTCATGCGGGTGAAGCTAATCAAAGGCTTTATTTTATACGCAAAGTGAAAATGTTAGGTATTGATGCTGTATTAATTCGTCTGTTCTTCGAATCGGTTATTCGTAGTGTAATGACTTTTTGCTTTTAATATGCTTTTATCAAAACTTGCTAATCAAAGATAAAGATAAATATAACAGAATTTGTAAAAGAGCTAGTAGTATAATTGAAGTTGAACTTGTCGATTTTAAATCCTTGTACGAAAAGAGAGTACTCTCTGCTGTTGAACATATATAATGAAAGATGAAACTCACTATCTTTCTCAACCATACTCGTATAATAGATCTGGACTTAGGATAAACACCGTAATAAGACTATGCGACTTCGCAAGTCTTTTATTCATGATAGTATACATATTTTTAATTCATTTGCCCACAGATGACAATTGTCATTGACGTTATGATTGTCCGTACCTTTTCTATACTGTTTTTATATACAATGCTTTTAAAATTCTATTTGTACTTGTGATTTTGCCAACTGAAGATGTTTTTCCTTTGCATTTTATATGATCGAAAATAAAGTTTTATTCGTAATCGTAAAGTTTAGCTTAACCCACTGAAAGTAAATTTTTAAATCCTATAGATTTATTCCCGAAATTATAAGGATATCGTTAAAATTGACAAGATAAAAAATCTAATTCAGAAATCAAAATATCACAACAAAATAAATAAAGAAAAAGATCCAGAGAACTCTACAAACTGGTGTGAATTGAAGGACAATTGTTCAGGACTCGTTTAAACGTTTCTGTTTGAAAGGTAGTAAAAAACATTTCTTCGTAATCATATGTACTAGTTAGTAGGCTATACTTAATAACACTGTATGTACTTTAATCGGACACACAATTCTTAAAGATGACCCATCTTTGAAGCTAACATCAATAACTTACGTTTGCTGAACTGAACAATATCAGAAGCACTAACAACTAAAGAACTCAACCACGAAAAAGAACCTACCTTAAGTCATACCTGAAGTTGTAGAGAAGAAATCAGTACCGTCAAGAGCAATTCCGGTTGAAGCAGGCAGGACAATAATCCACAATTGGATGGATTCATCGCACTGTAATATATCTAGATTAAAATCCATCAAATTCATGTATACCTTAGTCGTCTTATTACCTTGCGAAGATGAGAGGTTTGTCTTGTCAAGCCAATTTCTAAACCATACTAAATTACAATTAATGTACATAAGAGCTGATTGTATGACACAATTTTAGAGACTCTAATAGGGTCAAGTTCTGAAGTCTGACATGTTCTGAGATGGTGGAGAGAGAATTGTCCCTAACAGAAATACGTCTCAACTTATCAGAGCCTGAAAATGCATGAGATGGAAGCTCAACCAGTTGATTATCATAAATATACAGGTAGTTAAGTGATGGAAGATTTTGGAAAATGGTTGCATGTAAATACTTTATCCGATTCCCTATTAAATTAATCGTCATTAAATTTCGACAATGCTGAAAGAGGCCACGTTGTAGGGTTGCTATACTGCAGCTTTTTAGGGACAGCGATTCTAACCAAACAAGAGGTGCGAATATACTCATTTGAGGTCATGCACATTATAGGATGATGATGATGATGAGAGGTGTCAACCATTCGGTCAGCACAACTCTTAAATACAGATAATTACTGAGATTTTTTAACCCATGGAATGCATCAGGTTCGATGTCTTGGCAAAACAGTCTGTTATATCTGAAACTCAAAAGTTCTAGGTCCGGCGATGTCTTGAAAGAATTGTTCTTCAGCGACCCAATATTGTTGTTTCCCAGATAATAAAAAATGGCATCCCTCGGTACTGTGTCCATTGTTTGAATTTGTTCTAAACAAAGATGTGAGCAATCAACATGCTGCTGGTATTCTACTGGTTTTCCTTCTGTTGCGCAATATGTGCAGTTACATTGCTCTGAATATGGTAATTCACTTGGAGGTTGCGTACCGTTAATCGAAGGGTCGTATATCGTAGCACGTCTGTAAAGTAAACCTACAAACTAGAAATTACAATTGCAAGTGAAGTGCTGCGAAGTACAACTGCATATAAATGTTCTTCAAACAAAATTATTTATGCGAGTCAAGTGAAAATAATGAATAATAAAAATATAACAAATAATATGAGACACGACCCATTGTCTATATTAGAACAGTTCTCATTGGGTAACAAAATCGTAATTTTTCATTTTTGTCAAAAAGTGTCTATAGTGGTGAATT